TATCTTTATTTTATAGATCTATAATGTGAGATATCTAGACCCCAAGTGCTGCTTCAAATAAGTGCTGGACTGGGGTAGGGGGGTTGTTTTGTACTTCTTTTACATTATTGCTAGTACTAGTATTAATATTTTCTGTTACAAAGAATGAATAAAGAGAACTGTTGAGTCACTTTTTTATACTTAGTATTGCTAACTTGTATTTAACATAGTTAGCTATTACTAGAAAGTCATTACAGAGAAATATTTACTAGAATGTTCACTTAGTGCTATTATTGCTTTTTGTGTCATAGGTGTTACAGCCTTGTGACTTATTTTATCAGGCTACTCAGATAGGTACAGATCCACAAGTGATTGATATATCAGTAAAATCCCTTACAATAAAGGTAAGTAAATCATTCACTTCTTTCATATACTTTTTTTAAAAAAATGTATTTAGTACAGGGTCTCAGGGTCTCACTATGTACATCAGACTCATAGTGATTCTCTTGTTTCCCGCCTCCCAAGCACTGGGATTACAGGTGCACGTCACCACGCCCAGTCTTAGTGCGTCCTGGGGGTGGGGCTGGCACAGCTCATGGGGGATCGAACCCCAGTTACTGCCCTCTGAGTGCTTTAGTCTACTGAGCTATCTGGCCAGCCCTTGGTATACTTTTAAAACAGTAAAACCTGTAAATCATTATAATAGCAAGTCTTGTGACCATTAACTAAATATAAAATGAATTTATTTTGTAGAATATTTTGTGAGAATTACTTTCAGAATATTTCACATTTTTATGATGAATGTTATATTCTGTTGACATGTGACTGCTTTTGTAGTTATATCTAATATCCTGATATGTATAGTTGAAATTGTAATTTAACATTTATAAAATTAGTGTAATATTTGTAAAACTTGAAATTAGTTATAATTCAAATTTTTGCTGGGTAACAAGTTGTATTGACTATTTTGTGACAGTGATGTTCCATATTCCTCATGATTACTCAGCAAATATAACTAGTATATTTTTTTTTCCCATTTAGGTTTCTCCAGTGATCATAAATACCATGATTACTATAACTTCAGCACTTTATACAACTAAGGAAACCATCCCTAAAGAAACCACTTCTTCTATAGTACATTTGTGGGAAAAGAAGGATACAAAGAACTTAAAAATGTGGTTCCTTGAAGAATCAAATGAAACTGAAAAAATAACTCCTACAGCTGAATTAGTACCCAAAGGGGAGATGATGAAAATGAATATTGATTCTATTTTTATAGTTCTGGAAGCTGGAATTGGTCATAGGACAGTGCCTATGCTCTTAGCAAAGTCATGTTTTTCAGGCGAAGGCAAAAACTGGAGCACATTAATAAATCTCCATTGTCAGCTTGAGCTAGAAGTAAGCATACTTCATATTTTTCTAGTTTTTATAATACTGTCACACATAGAATATTGTGGATATCTAACAGCTGTTTTAATTTAGATTATATGATGACTTTACAGTTTTTGAAAGTGTCCATATGTGTGCTCTTGATTGATTTTTTGTATGTGTACATTTTATTTTCAGAGTAAATATCACATAGTTTATATTTCAATTGATGTTATATAAAATATGACATGAATAGTTATTCATTAGGTTAAGAATTCTTATTTTTAAGAATTAAAGTTGAATAATTTCTTTCTCTTAAAAGGCTAACTTTCTGAATACATGGATACTCTTAAGGGGGACAGGTCCTGGGAATTAAACTCAGAACCTCATGCTTGCCAAGCAGGTGCTGTGCCACTAAGAGATACTCTCTTCTAATAGTAATAAAGATTAGGACAAAAATGTTTTGCTTCAGAATTGATTTATATATAATAATTTTCAAGAATGTTTTGGTTTAAATGAATTGACCTTATATGTATTAAAAACTAATCTGAGATGTTTTACCTAATGAAAGTGATTATATAAATTTATAAGCTTCTGTAAAATGTGCTGACACAGTTATACTAACAATTAAAACTGATGAACTGGATTACCATTTCTGTATTCATATTATAATTCTGATATTTTGCAGAGGATTTAATCTAGGATGTCCAGTTTGTTAAGAGGCACTGAAGCATTCATTAAATCATATAATATGTGCCTTCAAGGGCTTTTTGTCAGTGAAAAAACTTATTTTAGAATGTCAGTAATATGTGATAAATGAACATACTATTTGATACTGACTTCAGACTATAAGCCAAAGGTATTTGAAGAGGGTCTTATCTGAACTAAATTGTGAAAGGCAAATATGGACTACTATGAGGTTATCTGGGTAGTAAAAGTACTGAGGAATTTGAACCTACTGGATGACATGTAGCTACCACAGCCAAAAGGCCTGTTGGGGGGAAGTAGCATAGAAGATTATTTTAGAAGATAAGAGATGCTTCAATAAAATAATTTCTCTCTTTAGGTTCATTATTATAATGAAATGTTTGGTGTATGGGAACCTTTGCTGGAACCTTTAGAAATAGATCAAACTGAGGATTTTAGACCATGGAATCTTGGAATCAAGGTATGAGAGAGAAAAAAGTGTATATGTGTGTGTGTGTGTGTGTGTGTGTGTGTGTGTGTGTGTGTAAAGAGTTTCATAGTTTTAGCTATATGCAGATTGGAGGAGATAGTTTTCTTGTAGATTTTACCTTTGTGCATGTATAACTTCTTTACCGGTATCTATCAAAGTACTGATGGCTGAAATATTGAAATTAAAAAAAAAAAAAAAAAAAAACCTGTCACATTAGACACTTTAGTTTTACTCACAGTGCGGAAGTTTTCTCATTGTCAGTCTTCCATATGTGGTTCCATATTTGACCTCTGCTGCATATTATAGTTTGGAAATCCAAGGCCAGTGCTACCTAACCTATACAGATAATTCTATAACGTTAATTATGGACTAGACATTGTTTTGAATAGTGTAGCTTTGCTGTAACCTTTACAATAACCCTGAAGGATATAATTTATCTACACTTGAATGTAAAATGGAAATAACACCAGAGTTTGATGGATTTTCCTAAAGAAATATGGTACAATAATAGCTACATAGTGGAAGAGGTAAAGTGTAAATTCAATTGCAGTCTCTACTCTTAGATACTATATTATGTTATGTCGTATTA